TATTTGACTGTCTATTATTTTATGTCCCTTCTATTTATCTAGCCATGTTCCACAGCTGTATCATACTGTCACCTCTTACACAAAGGGAAAGGGAGTCAACTCTTCAGTATTGGTTACTCTACATCTTGTTTATTCCTACATGAGATCAACACTTAATGAGGGTGTTCTCAGACAAAAAAAAAAAAAGGATAGTCACAACCACTCAAAGAAAAACTAAATTCCTTAAATTAACATTGCTTTAATAATGGCATGGGCCAGGTTTGCTTAGAAATGGATTCAGAGATGACAATTTCCCTGCAGACAGCTTATCCATGAATTCCCTTGTAATTCACTTTGATGAGTAAGAGAAGCAGGACTGGATACAAATAGTAGTTGTGAGAATCTTCAGCCAATCTCACAGAAGTCTCTGAAAGTAGGATTGCCCTTCCAAGAAGTTCTGAACTGAGGAGACAGGGCTGGCCTTTGTACTCCTGCCTTGGTCATTTATTGGGTGCAGGCATTCCCTAGAGGCCTCAGTTGAGAGCCACCAGAATCTTCACTATCAGCAGGTGTGGGAATGAGTGCCTTGAACTTTAATGGGGCCATGGATGGTGCCCCAAGGCATTCACAGCAGTCTAGCCTTGCTCAGATCCATTTTTAGTTTGAAAATAAGAGTTCATTCCTTGGAACAGCTTCTCTTTGCTGTGTTGTAAGGCAGGGACTTCATCATTTTTAGGCATTCACTTTGAACAGGAATAACAGTTTTCTTCTGCAGGCACACAAGGCGTAAAGAAATCTGGAGATAACAAAAAATGTTCAAGTACAATCGACCCCAATGTTCCTCTGCCAATTTTCAGGGCCCTATTCCTTCCCAACTAGTTCCCCATAGGTCATAGTTGAGGACTCACCCTTCTCTGAAATATGCATATTTAAAGCTTAGGCCTGATTTTCAGCTTTTTGTGCCTCTGGCTACAAGAATGAGTCTTTTTTATATGTTGCCAAGAAGGCCTCTGGCTTTCAGATTTCACTTTAATTGGCAATTAATCACCCTCAACATTTTATTGTCTTTCCCAAATGTCTCAGTAGCTTCTGGCAATGAATGTATGACTCCATGATCTTTATAATTACTACTTTTCCTGAACCTCTCAGACACCTGAGATGGTTCCATCATCAGCATATTCTGTCCCACTTGTATCTTGCTCCAGGTCATCACTGGTGGAAGTTGTAGCATTTGTACACTGAGAACTCATGTGTGGGTGTGGCTGTCTAAACTCCACGTAACATCAGGTCCTCATTGTCACTGGGTTTTTATTCAACTCCAAAATTTGAATTGAAAACTGATTCTTAGGAATTAGCTCTCTCAGAGGAATAGACTCTGATAGAGACTTAAGGGCAAGAAGGACACCTTTCAAGGAAAGAGGGAAGCCAGAGGAACATGTATATGAGAATGAGATTTTAAGTAATCTCATGTTGAAGCAGGAGATTGTGCCTTATACCCCGTACCTAAAAATTACTGATTGTGAGCAGCATTGCCTTGGGCGAGGCAGCTCCTTTGGGCAGATGGAGATTTCTTGGAAAAGGATTCTGAGCATCATCAGTAGGCAAGGATCTGAACAACTAAGAGATTGAATACTTTAGTCTGGAATGAGAACCCATACTTACTGTACCAGATACATATTTAAAAGTAAATTCTGTACCATCTTCTCTTCCACTAGGTTGCCAAAAGATACTAAAAAGAGTTTTTAATCTCTGCTACCCCAATACCAATTCCAAATATGTAGTGTTTTGAAGCCTAGAAATATTTAATATTTAACATCTATTTTCTTCTTCAGACTGAGTCATTTATTTATCTTGGATTCAACAAATGTATTAAAAAATAACTAATGGGTATTTATCAAGTATTGGAATAAGTGATAGAGACAGCAATGTGTTTGTGACAAGAGGACACCAAGATAGGGTAAGGTCCTTTCCTTACCCTTTTGTGAGGAAGGCAGGCATGAACCTTTGTTTAATCCATTAAGCAAATATTTATATTAAATATCGACTGTTTTGATAGAGTAATACTCTGACTACTAGATACACAATAAATAATATCCTACTCTCAAAGATACAATACATTCATGGGAAAGACAGAAAATGTGAAAATATAAAATAACAAGATCATTTTAAATAGTGATAAGTGCTATAAATAAAATAACAGAAGTAATGTGTTAGAAAGTGGTGGGGGGGGCAGAGGAAGGTCTAGAAGGGCATTGCAAAACAGGTGGCATTTGAGATGAGATGGATGATGAGAAGCAATGAGTCATGTGAAGGCGACAGAGATGTATGTTCAAGCACAGGCAACCCCCGAAAGCCCTATGGGGACCAGAGGAAGGCCCATGGATGTATGGCTGGACAGAGTGAGAAGGAAGGGCAAATGGCTGGGTTGGTGGCTTACTTTGTAGATCATGCTAATGAGTTTGGATCTCTTTCTAAGTACTGGAAAATCTTGGAGGATTTTAAGTAGGCACACTAAATCTAACGTAAGTTTTTAAGAGAGATTGTTATGGCTAGGGTGAAAAAAATTTTTTTGCTGCCAGCATGGATTAAATTTTAAGGAAAAGGGATTATTTTATTTTATTTATTTATTTTTGGCAGGGATGGGTCATGTTTCTGGAGAACCAAAATTGAGGGACTGCGTGATGTGATGAACTCTTACTTGCAAAGCCCTGAGGCAGCTCAGGGATCACATGACAAGAGACAGGAATCACATGTGTGTGTGTGTGTATCCTCTGGTCTCTCTCCTTCCTCTCATACAGTCACCTCCTGTTTAACCATGGAGGCTTCACCCTGATGAACTTTTCTAATTCTTACAGTCTCCACAAACTGCACCTCCAGATGCTGGGTAGATAAAGTTTCCACCCTCTTAGTACATCCTGATGGGGATTAAACTGCAGCATGAGTTTCAGAGGGCACAAATCATGCTGAAACCATGGGGATGGATGGGAAAGCAGATTCTCCAAATGAAGGGCTATTGCAGGGTCATTTGTACATTAATGATATTGGAAATGGAGATTATTGAACATTTAATGAGTATATTTTGGAGATTGAGACGAGTAACTGATAGACTGGGTTCAGGGGTGAAGAAAAGATAAAGGTCAAAGATGATTCTATTTTCATTGGAGCATACAATTAACAAATAAAATTATTATGAAAGTACCACTTCTTACAAGGATGATGCAGTTGAGAGTATTGGGAAGATACTACTTTCCCCCTGGAGAAAATGTTCATGGAAGGCATTTTGTGAAGGTAATACTGGAGCAGAGATCTGCTGCAGCATAAGAATGGACTGGTCCTGTGAAGATATGGGGCAGTGGGAGTACATGAAAGGGAAAAGTCCTGACACCAAGATGAGAGGTTGGTATAAACAGGAACCTGTTACGGCTGGAGCACAGGGAGTGGGAAATGATCTGAGATGTGGTTGAACAAAGAAGCAAGAACCATAAAATAGCTACTTATTACTTTGTTACTAAATCTGCATTTAAGTAAGAAAAATCATTGATTAGATAAAAATGTCTGAGTGGGAACTGGAAGACAACCAGCAGGACAGGGGGCAGAGTGAGGTTTTCAGAACTCTCAGTATCTGGCTGAGCTGATTTGTTTTACCACTTCTTATTTCATAGGGCCACTTAAAGACCTTTTAATTGTGCTTCAGGGTTCCATATGACTGAATAAATAAAAAATGTACTTGTGGTTTATAATTTTAAATTTAGAATTAATATTTGGCAGGTTTACTCACAATAATAATATAGAACACATGTAATGGTCATAAAGGTCTCTATTTTGAACATTTTTGTGAGGCAATACAAACATTATGCTCATTTTATCAATGAGTTAAAATGAGTCCTGGAGTTGAACCCACTTTTAAGAATTAGAAACAAAACAAAACAACAACAAAAAAAAAAAAACTCTGTGCTACTCAATGCACCATATTTTGTAGTAAATTCATCTAAACAGTTCAGTCGACTTGGTCAGAATGAATTCCTAAACAATGGAGAAATTAGGATTAGCATTTAGGTTCCTTGTTTCTTAGCCCAGAGTCCCTCTGATGCACCCTCCCTTCCCCATAAATGATGAGCTCTCACAGACAATAATGCTTAGCAGAATGTAGTCTTGGGCTCTACTTAGGGTGAACCAGAGTACATGCAGTAATGCAGAGCACAGCATTCTCTGTGGTAAGAAATGTCTAAAGGTAAAGTGAGGAGGAAGAAGGAAGCAAGAAGTTTGCTAGATACTTAAAGGAGAATGTTGTTTAAGCCTTTCTTCCCTACTCTCATTTCTAATCTGTCCATTTTCTGGAAAATGTCCACTTTCCTATGACTGAGACAAAAATTCAACTTCTAGTGTCTCACACATTTATTTTACAAATGAGGAAGTTGGTCTTTATACTGCCTCTTTTTCCCCATAATTCTTTCTGTTTTAGGTTGAGAATTGATTAATTAATTAATTAATTTCAGCAGTTAGGTCTTAAGCATTTGGAATGTAGAAATAACATCTTCATGCATTTGGTACAGGACACATTATGTTGTATGAATACTCACATTTGGAGAGGTAATTTAGTGTTTTTTTTTTCCTCTTAAGGAAACAATTATAAAGTCATAGTAATTATTAGTTAATAAATGCTCATCAAAAGAATATGAGTGTCCCACTGAAGTTGAATCTCAGCATGTTCAAATGGGTGCACATGGGCTGGAGAAATTAAGTTGCACAAATATTGTAGCCAACTTGGTAGAAAGGAGTGTAGACTAAAGTATGTAACAAAAACAGAACTTCTCTTGAAATTATTCTTTAAAAACATTAACTTGAAACTCAGCTGAATAATTCTGCATTGCTTCGTCTATACCAGCATTAGAACGATTTGTATTGATTTGCCTTTCTGGCAGTAAAGTTGTTTGTGTTAAGTTAGCTTTCCATTACTCTTACAAAATGCCTGAGATAAATCAGCACGTAAAAAGGAAAAGTTTATTTTGGCTCATGGTTTCAGGTCATGTGGCTTGGCCCCATTGTCTTTGGACCTGAGATGGCTTGAATACATGGTGGAGGAAGCCATTTACCTTATGGCAACCAAGAAGCAAAATGAGAAAGAATATGGTAAGTGTCCCACAATTTCCTTTGAGGGCATGCTCCCCAATTACCTAACATGCTTCTACTAGGCCCCACCTCCTAAGGGTTCCATCACCTCCCAATGGCATCAGAGGCTGTGGACCAAGTCTTTAACTCATGGGCTTTTGAGGGACATCTCAGTCTAAACCATGGCAATGTCTTACTTCAAAGTAATCTAATGCCTTTTAATAGAAAATCAACTTGACTCTTTTCAGTTGTCTGTTTAGGTATATGTAGATTCTTCTGCAGTATAAATTTTTGGGACATTTGTGAATAATCACAAAATTTCCTTAAGATCTTTGGTTTTCTTATATGAAACAAACAAACAAACAAAACAACAACAACAACAACAACAACATAGTCCTTTGTCATCTCAGTGGTAAATTAATTGCTACTATTAGATGGAAGATACTCAAGTCAATGATTTAAAAAAAAGAGATCATTCAGATTTAATTCCAAGACTAAATTTTAATAGCAGAGGTAGGAAAGTTAGATGTGTATTTAAAACACGTTGATTCTAGTAGTTTATGATAATAGCATGATAGCTAGTATTAACAGCATGTGGTTATTCATTTTCAACATCTATTTGATGTGGTTGAAACAAACTATACAATGGAAGCCAATAATTTTCCATTTATTTGTTCTCTTCCCAAAACCTTCCCAATTGATCACAGCTTCTCAGCTTACATCCTCCTGTAGTTACCCCCCGGGGAATCCTGATCAGACACATTTGAAAACATCTTTTCTTTGAGGTTTACAAAATTTCACATGCTGTGTAGCTTTGTGCTCATTCTCACTCTGTTTGATGAGTGATAAAAATCACAGTGGATGCTTTGTTATCCTGAGATTATGAAAAATATTAATTTATTAAACTAAACATTTTTCAGACATGGGTTATTAAGAGAGGGGTGGGTGGGGTTTGAAGTTTTCCACACAGAGAATTGATAATATTTAAGAAATTGGAAATGCAAATTATCCTGATTTAATCTTTGAATATTGCATTGAATTATAATACTTTATCTCATAAATAAGCATACATATTATGCCAATTTTTTTAAAAAAATTAGATTTTTCAAGTTGAGGTTTATTTTGAAGGGGGTTAAAACTAAAAAAAACAAATATAGTATGCTAAGCATCAATAATGTAGCAGAGAACACTTTGTATGCATCTTCTGTTATATCATATCGTCTGTGCATTATACATGCATTCGTACCTTTTACCCTGCTTTGAAGACTAAAATAGTTTGTATAATTCATTTTTATTAAACAACTAGCTCAAAATATGCATTATAAAAAGTAAGAATGAGCTTCATTTAACTCACTGTATTGACACTCCAGGAAATACTTTGAACTTCACTAAGAATATTGTCAGAAGTCAGTGAGATTCTTTCTGGGCATAACAGAAAATGCAAAAATTGAAACTTCTTGCACAAACTTAAAACCAAAACATCATATAGACTTTCTGTGTTTGGACCCAACTTGACTCTGTCTATTTGGATAAAAAACTATTGGATGAACATTTTTTTGGTAAGTTGTCAACAGTGGAACGTGCAAACAGATGTGTTTCTGCTATTTTCATTATTTTAGGGAAATAAAAGCAGCTGTGCTGGGCTTGTGTGCTAGGGCTCAGGGAGTTGGGAAATCTAGCAGTGTAGACCAGGATTGATATCATGAACATCTTCAAATAAGGTCATTGAGTGTGAATCCTGGGCACTGTTCAAGAATTCACTTCTTCTGGAATTTTTGGTTTAGTTTTTCCTGTATCAAATTCCATGTGGAAATGCATGCTGAAGCTGGGTACAGTCTCTATGTCTTTGATTTTCATGAGACTATAAGGAAGATGATTTCAGGAGCTGCACTTTTTTAGAATTTGAGATTCTTTTACATAAAATAGTGAATATTGCTTATTATATTTTCGAGGCAATAGGTAGAAACTAATGATAGTGATTTGATATAGTTCTGTCATGACTTTCCACACTAGGAGGACTAAATATGTGTTTTCTAGACACAATACACACGGTGGGGAAGAAATCCAGCCTATTTGGTGAAAGAAAAATAAATCAAAGTATAAAAACAGAGCCTCCTTTTATGCACTTGCAGAACTGACAGTAACCAGATGGTAAGTTTTTTTTTGCATCAAATTGGTGTTTTATGTGTAGAAGGACTATTTTGGGTCCAGTTTGGGAAATTCGTCACAGAAATTCACTTGTCTCAAGTTTTATTTCCATCTGTAGGAGTCTGGTGTTTGTGTTTGTGTGTGTGCTTGTGTGTCGGGGGACCTTTTCTGTGTTTCTGTGTATTTGCAGGGCTATTTTTGCACATGGTTGTGGGCTTTTACTGCCTTTCTGTGTAGCAGAAGTTATCCCTTGGCAGAGAGAACGGAGACAAGATGTGAGAATGATGAAATTGGATTTCTTTTGTTGTGATCTAACATTTGACCTAGGATTATATCCATAATTGCAGTAAGAAAAGATTAAAGTGAAGAGACTGATAAAAGGGAAAAGTGACATGTTTATGCAGATTTTTCTAAGCACTATATTTAAATATTGATAACATGGAGATATTTTCTCAAAGGGAGGATTTTGAAAAGACAATTTAAAAAATCACTAAATTCAAGAATGTATCTTTTACTTTAAAATAAAGATACTATGCTTTCTTTCAGTAACTATGAGACTAGGTCCCTGCTGTAGGCTTACCCAAAATTTCCAAGTGATATATAGTTGCAGGTATTTCTAATAAGAATAAAATTCTGTTGTGTCTTTGTGTTCATTTTCATAAATTGATTGTGAATAGAATCTCCTAAAACCCTTTAATTTGTTTTTCTTCTTTTCATAGACATCAAAAGTCTCAGTTTGTTAAGTAATTTTAAGAGGGGATAGGAAGAAGAGCAAATTTATGGCTGGGTTCCAAAAAAGCCTTGGCATGAGCTCCAAATCTGCTGCCCACACTTGCAGTTGTGGAGAGCTACTCAGGAAGAGCATTTCCTTCACAGGTGAATATTTTTGATTCTGCAAGTTCCGTTCAAACGTTCATTTTAATTTTTATAACGTTCTCTTTCCCTCCTTGTTCTCTGTTTTCTCTTTTATTTCTGGCTTTAAAATGACATTAACATAAGCTGATATTTGACCAGATCCAGATAAATTAAGTGTAAGAAAATGGTTTAAACACTTCAATCACAAAATGGTTATTAGGAATGCTGGTTAACAAGGGATTTATTATGTTTCCAGCTTTAAATCAGATAATTCCGTAAACCAGTCTGCAACAGGTGAGCAGTCATCATATATCTTGCCACTGCTGAGAACAGCAGATTGAAAAGAACTTCACAAAGACCAAAGCCATGGGACTATAGAGGATGGTGGGCTATATTCTTCATATATAGAAGAATCTGGACCGCCCAACTATGTAAGGAACTTACTCTAAGGCAGGGGATCTTTACATTTCATACCCAATAGCCCTTGAAAATCACTATGGACAGATTACTGTTTAGTGTTACCCATTTCTCCCTGTTTTAAGTTAACAGATTTTAGGACGCTTACTGTCATTTGATTCAACTCTTTTAAACTTAGTGTATATGGAGGAAGACACAGACTTGTCTTTCATTTTATAGATTGCCAGATACTGAGCAGGACTCAAAGGGGATTTAATGTGCTTTGTGTATAAAAGCAGTTAACACAGTAAAAGAAAGGATGAACTAAGGGAGAGATGACTAATAATGCTCTCCTCACCCATGATAATAGCATTTTACCTCTTAAATCACCATTGGACATAGCATGCATTTTTCTAGCCTCTGCTGTGGCTACGTAGGGTTGTATAACTTGGTTCCAGCTTCTACAGCAGAAACAGCACATGCACTTCCATATTTTTCTATTCAGGGGCTGCCTTCTCCCTACTCCATTTCTCTTTCTCATCTTTGGGAAGGTAGGTGTTGGGGCATCCATTGACAAAGCAGATACCACCCATCATGAAGCTGAGAGCACTAAAGTAAATGGTGTCTTTGGTCATTGATGCTTTGGAGTTACCATATGTGTCAAGTGACTTATTTGGGGGTCTCTGTACATCAAACATCAAGCTGATATCATATTCAAGGTAATCTAAATGAAGAAAAAGTGTCCAACTGACCCAACATGATTAAATCACTTTTGTTATTAAATCATGTTCATTTGAAGAGTTTTGGGCTTTTTACTTTCTTCAGAGTGGTTCCAGACTTCCTCTGGAGTCTACAATGGCAGAGTCACGCATACACAGCTATCTCCCCCTTTCCCTATGCTCATTTCACTTGAGGACTGAGGTGGGATATGGGATGGAAGTGGGAAAAATTGGAGGACAGAAAAAAAAATGAGTTAACTTATTTATATCCTCTTTATGTATTTATCATGTATCATTTGAATTGAGGTGGCAAGTACTTCCATCATTGCGTATTTTGGTAACTATCAGTTTATAGTGGACAAGATCATCAAGAGCTTAATTTCAAATGAACATAAAAATGGTAAAAGGTGACCTTCACTTAACAAATCTAGGCAAAATTTAGTAGTAACACACTTATGAGAGAGCTAGAACAATGAGGGCCAGAGATTTTCCTGGTCATGGAAATACAGAAATTTCTAAAGGCCAATTCTTTTGACCATGGTGGATATCATGCCAGGAAATTAGATATTCTTCTTCTTGTTTGTGTCCTCTCCTTTTCTGGCCTGGAGATTATCTTGGATTACGTGGGTGAGATTCAAATGCTACTACATATCTCCTTACAAGAAGTAGGCAGAGGGAGATCTGATACACAGGGATGCTGATGTGAAGATAAAAGCAGAGGTTGGAGGGACATAGACACATGCCAATATATGATGGCAGCTACCAGAAGTTAGGGGTGAACTTTTAGAGGGAACATGGTATTGCTTGCCTTTAGATTTTGAAATTCTAGTCTCCAGAACCATAAAAAAAAATACATTTCTGTTGTTTTATGCCACCATGGTAATTTTTAATAGCAGCCATAGGAAATGAATACAGTAAACAAATTATAATTGTATCAAATACATTGAATTATCTTCTTTTTACCTAAGTGTACGCAGCAAGGTTACTCCTTCATTCTTTACTTTAACCAATAATTAGGGTTCTCTTCGGGTTATTGACTATTTGTACATTTGTGTGTGTGCACGTGTGTGTGTGTGTGTTTGTGGTGCTATGGCAATCTTTTCTACACGTATAATTCTTTCCGTCTCTTCACAACATCAGTTTTTCTAGCCAATTTTTTAAAAGAAAAAAAAAAGCTATGAGTAAGTTAATTATTTGAAGTGATTTCATCTATTAGCATTATTATTTGCTGATACATGCAAACACAATTATCACCCCACCTGGCCTGGCAGTATGACAGATATTTGATGGATGAAATGTTTTACAATGCATCTCATTCTTCTAAGTATTGCATAGGCCTTATTAAGGGTCATTTCCTATGATTTAAGAAAGCAAACTCCTGAGATTTAGAAGTCAGCAAGCTGGTGTACTGACAGGGTCATTTAAAATCTTTGCTGTCATTAAACCTATATTCCTCTGGGGGAGACAATCAAGTGAAATAGAAATAATATTTGACAAGTATTAAACTAATGTGTTTGAATCTCTCTCACTTACACATCATGTTCCATAATAGTGATCTTGTTGGTGTAGCCCTTGGAAATTAGATAATGACAAATGTTTCTTCAGAAAAAGAAAGACATATGGTAGTGAAAGTTGAGTTGCAAAGCAGGCAGGCAGAATACGTCCTTGAGTCAGTGGCTGATGGACAGAACAGGATAGAGAAGACCAAGACATGTTGGGTGGCAGAGGAGAGTCAGACATGGAACACATGCCCATGAAGGAAAACAAAGAGAACAACGGATTTGTCCCCAGTCCCCCTTGGCTCTCTAGGAGGAGTCCACTGAAGAGTGTCCACACAAAAAGTGGAGGAGTCCTACTAGGTAAGTTGGTGAATTGGTATAGACAGGTTGATCCAGTGTGTTGTTTACTCTCCTGAAGCTTCCTCAGGCCTGCTGCAATATGAATGCTGAGTTGACAGCCCTGTCCCTGGCCAAGCCAAGTAGTCTCAACCACAATTCTTCAAATACAGATGTCAGCAGCAAACAGTTCCAGAAAACCCAAGGGTGGGACTGAGCCAACCATAGATCACTGGATCCCAGCCAGTATAAAAACAGGCAGCATAGGGTGGTGGTTATGGGGCAGACTGACTGGGCACAATTCTTGCCCCTGCCATTTACAGGGGTTTAATTTTATACAAATAACATTTCCTTTGTCTGCCTCATTTTCTTCATAAAATAAGACTGATAAAAGTATTTACCTCATGGAGTTGTTACAATGATTGAATTAAACAATGCTTGTGACCAATTTAGAATAATAGGATTATAATAAACATTGAACATAGTTGGGTTACCCCAGAACCAGCATGAGGATGGGGAATCTCCTTTCCATGTTGCTACAGTGTTGTATGAATTCCTCTTCCAACTTGAGGAAAGCAAGGTGTTGAGGAAATATTTAAAAGATGAAATATTTATTCCAAATCAAACCGGAAGAGGCAATTTAAACCCTTGGATTAAATTAAATTTTAAAGTGAAATATATTACATAGAATTTCTATTATTTTTCCTTACTACTAGCTGGTGGGCTTGGAGACTGTGTCACAAGTAAAACGAGATTAGTTAATAGACCATGGAAAGAAATTCTATCTTCTTTGCCTCTATAAATTGTTGTATGAGTAAAAGCCTGGCCTTGGTTTCCAGTAAATGAATGAAACTTTTCTGATAGCAATTATTTTTGACAAAGGCCAATAACTAGGAATGAGGTAGCAACATTAGGTCCAGGGAAAAACTCCTTGAAAGATAACATTGGGATTTAGACTTGAAGTTAAGAAGGACCCATGATGACATATTTGGAGGAAGAGCTTTTTCAGATAGAAGGCAAGCAATGCCTTCTATTTCACATGTCCACACTGTAAGCTCTGGAAGCTGTTGTAAACTTATATTCTTGTATTCAGTAGCATGTACTGAAATGACCTTTTGGTGCCGGGTATTCTATTTGGAATTGTAGGTAAACTTGGGACTCCAGTATATTTTGGGATCTGCCTGTACATCAATGTGATGAGAGCTGAGGGCACAGGGTGAAAGGTGACAAGATACAGGCCTCCAAGATAGAGGAACCCCATGATGAACTGCTGTGTTTTAGGAATAGAAGGAGAACCAAAGTGACGAGGTTGAGAAGATGGAGCACACACCATGGAGGGATTTGTAGATCATGATCAAGGGTCTAAGTTTTATTCTCATTAGTTAATGAGAAACCACTGGATATTTTTGAGAGTAAGGTAATCTGATCTATATTTTTACAAATCAATTGTTTTTCTGGAAATATTATAAGGGAAACTTCAATGGAAGGGTTGTAGGTTATGAGGTCATCCAGACAAGCGAACATGATGCTTTGGACTAAGGTGATGGCAAAAGAAATAGTTAAAATGCCATATATATATATATATATATATTTTTTTTTTTTTTTTTTCCAACTGATGTCAGTTGCAAATGCATCTAATACACCTGCCTCTGAACATCACAGATCAGCAACACAGTGCACTGTAGATTAGGGGTTATTTTACCCCATGATTGTGCATGACTGACTGGGACCTGTTGTTCAGCACTGCAAAAGCATATTATAGCTAACTTGGGAAAAGATCAAAAGCCAAAATTTGAAATAAGGTTTCCACTGGATGAGTATCACTTTTGCACAATTGTAAAGTCCAATTATCGTTAAGTCAAATCATTATAATTTTGGGACAGTCTACATGGGAAATGGCACATGTGGCTGGTGTCTATTGTTTTAGACAGCATGCACGTAACATCTGTAGAGAAGAATTTGGAGTAGGTTTGGGTATCACTGTGTTGTCACTGGATGAACAGCATCTACCCAAAAGCTCAAGCATGAGAGATTTAGGAAGGTGAGTTTTCACTGTTGGGACTCAAGATGA